CATTCTATAGCCTTTCAACATTATTTTTCCCCCAGATAGTCAACAATTTTAGTGTGAATGGAAAAAAATTCAGCATGAGCAGTAAGGAATTATGGGGAGGGGGGGGAGTTGCCATCTAAATGGCTCTATTCAAACCCATCAAAAATATAAAGTGACAATTGGTTCAGAAGGCACTTTACGGAAATATTATTTGAGTAAATGTGTTTTCCCTATCAAAAAAACTTCTGCAAATTTCTTTTGAGGAATATGGTTTTTTATTTCTCTCTGAATCTACTTTGGTCTATATACACTGCCAAGTTGTACTCCACAGTAAGTTGGACAGTGTATCTATACGTAGTAGCCAGTACCAGTAGACACACAATGACACTTTGTTGGGGGATTCAATCCACGTAGGATTATTAAGTGTTGTTCAGTTCTTCACAATGGAACGTGCCTGAGATTAGGTAAAATGAATAGCTAACATTGTTATGCAACTCATTCCTTGTCCATGATTTCTCAAACCTGAAAAACTGCAAGAAAAAAAAGTCATTATAAAATCAAAAATCCTGAGTTCACCTTTTAAGTAGACAGTAATTTAAATGTTACACATAAACATTGCTTAACAGAATAAAGCTTTAATGTTTAACCTGTTTCAGCCCCTCACCAAAATGCTATCTACTTATAGTTGTATTGGCCCTAGCCAGGCTTTCTCAAAAATAGGTACTCTGACTTGGAAATAAATTTAAAAATGGAACAGTTTTGGAGTTTCTACATACAGACGAGATAGTCTCTATACAACAAATGAGAAACGCTTCGTTCAGCGTGTCTCCTATCCGTCCTACTAAACCTTCTGCCAATTGCTCATATGGAGCAGTGATCTACTTGCAGGAAGAAATCAAACTCCCACACCGATACTGTTGACTGTAACACTTCCATTCCAATAAAAAAAAATAATTGTGTTTTATCATCAAAACGTGCACTGTGCAATATGATTCTTAACCTTGCATATGACCCGTAAAACTGTTAAAGTCATTTGGATAACGGGTTTTAAAAGAATGACAGCCTAGTGATTTGCAGCTAGATTTTGTTTCCAGCGCTTTGATTTCAAGGCTAGCCAAATGACTTTAGCATACATTATTTCATCTCTCTCATCAACGGTATCAAAACAACTTCAAGTGGTACTGAGAAAAATACAGACCCCCATCTTCACAGCACAATGAGTCCCAGGAATTATTAAAGACTGTTCTTGCAGTGAAACCATTCCCCAATTAACACTAAAACAAAAACATACCTTTTGTGGTTTGGGGTTTTTTTGTGCGTGTATTTTTGGTTATGTCAAATATTTTTGAACTGTTAAAAAGCAGACATTTAGAGAAGGATGCTGCTCCTCAGTTGCTCGTATCCACGGGATGGATATAAGTAATGTGTCCTCTAGGGAATGAGAACTCTGCAAGTTTTAATTGAAGCTCGTGGTTCAATAGAAAATTTAATTTAAATGAGAAAAAAGTCAGTCCGTTCTAACACGGATGCTGTACACTGAAATAAGCTCGCTTTAATACTTTTCGAACCTGTTAAAAAACCAAGGCTGTCTCCTGAGTTCATAACGAAACTGAGCCAGAAGAGCTTTGGCCACCTCTGCTGACAAAGCAAGAGGCCAAATTCCACCCCGAGCTCCGACACCGTAAATACAGAGCACCTCCATCAGCTTCTGGATGCGCCCCAAAACGCCGGGGCTGGCTCCATCCAAAATGCAGGTGCAAGGAAACGACTCCCCCTCCTCTGAAAAAAGGGGAAAAGCAGAGGAGCCACCAGGCTGAAGGCACCGAAGTCCATCGGCCAGGCAGGTGACAGACCACACTTGTCCCTAGCTGCGAGAGCACAAAGTTTTCTTATTTCTGACACGTGTTAATAATTAAGGGACAGTAAAAGAAGCAACTCAGTCTCAAATTGTGGCAGAGCTAATTAATAGCTTGACACTCCAGTAAGAGCCTGTCCTCCTCTTCCAAGCCACGGGCTCCCTCTTTTGTGCTGCTCTGTCACTCCTCTGACGGCATGGAAGCTAATTATTTTAACCATTTCAGAAGACCAAAAAGGGTTTGCAAATCTATTGCCTGTTTAAAGAACACCTGCACACGCAGCCTAACAGAAATGACAGCAATTATTCTAGTCCTTCTTCTATCACGGTGTATTTATTGTGTGAAGCTGCAGTTCAAAGCAAGTCTCCCTCCCGCCTCTGTCTCCCACTTCCCTGCCAAGAAGATGCTTCTGTCACGGAGAGATTGTCAGTTCTGCTGGCCATTTTGATTCCTTCAGGAATAATGTCACAAGCTACTTGAGAAACTTCTGTCCCAAGGTTTTCAAGGCTAATTATAGCCTTGGTTGCAAGCCATGACACTTTCAAAATTCTTGTATAAACCCAGTTTTGGAATAAGTATGCTTTTTTTCTTGCTCTTGAGTGACCTTTTATGCATGCATTAAAGATCACTTTAGTTTAATCAGGTTTTTTTCCTTATAGAAGCCAAAATCTGGCATTTAAGTTCCTCCAGCCATAGCAACGCATCTTTCCTATTTCTTTCTTTCCACATAGCACTATAGGGCAAAGAACTAATTTTACTACACTATTTTCCTTTCCTTAGTGCTTACAGAGCATTGCTTTTCTCTCTTTATTACTAAATTCAAAATATTTTTCACATTCAGCTCCAGCACATGGGCATATATTTTACTGACTGTTTTGCGTTGCTTATTACTAAGAGCAAACCCTACCCCGCTTCGTTATAAAGTTCCCATTCTGAGACCAGTTACTGAAAACTCTCTGAATCGGGAATTTCTCAGCCCCGTTTCTAGCAAATGCCCAACCTACCATTTCACACCGCAATACCTGTATCAGCAGAGAAACAATATGAAATTTAGTGATTTGGGCACTTTTACTTTGAAATTTCAGAATCCTGTACATTTTCATAACAAGAACCTACTGTACTAGCTAAGTAGAAAATTAAATCCAGCCAGGTAAATGCATTATATTTTATAAAGCTTAACAGTTATAAGT